TAGGTTCATGCCTGGATGTGAAGCTTTGCCCCTCCTGCTGCTGTAAGAGACGCCAGTTTTTCATTAGTTTATGCTTGGCGTTCACCCAGTCCATTTTTTTGTTTTGATTGCCTAAACATTTCCAAATTTTGAGTTATGTTCTATTCTTCACTAGTAAAAGTTGAAGAAAGTGTTTGTGTGTGTGTGTGTGTGTGTGTGTGTGTGTGTGTGTGTGCATGATTGGCTCCAGCCAAGGGTGTTGCATCGTGGTGAAATCAGGCGCTCGTCAAAACAATGAAATTTAAAAAAACCCAACGGTTAAACATCCGTTGAGCGATTTTTATGTATTTTTGTTTGTTTGTTTGTTTGTTTGTTTGTTTGTTTTTTGTTTTGGGCTCAACATGTTTGATTTCCATTGAAATATATATTTCTGCATTGGTTTTACTGAAAAATGTTGATCAAAGGCACAAAAACTTGTAAATTTGCAGTGCTCAAGGATACAACAGCTTTAGAAGTTACCAAGCTTTGACTGCTATTTTCTCGCTAACTTTACCTCTAACACAAAGCCACCTCCACCTCGTTTAATTGCAAATATCTCGATTTCTATATATGATAAATGAGTAATTTGCCATCAAAAGCAAGGCAAATGAACAAGCTTTAACTTTAAGATGATAGCAATAATTCTGTATGCCCAATAAATGACGAGCGCCTGATTCCTCGACGCTGTGACACATAAGAAAAATAGTACCTGAGATCCTAGTCTCCTTGGCTTCTTCCTGAGGCCAAGCAAATCTCTAAGTACTGTACTTTGACGTTGACTTCCCAGTCTGTTAGTGAGACGACTGGTTGCATCTTCTCCGGGAGACAACAAAATAACTGTTTGTTTCCTCTAGACCAGACCTCTGCCTGCTCTAGACCAGTGTCTGACGCCGGGAGGCAGAGTGGTTTAAAATTACCGTGATTACTTCGTCGTCTGAACTGAGAAAAAAAATGGCTACCTTAGAATTACAAAGTTCTATCTGCTCAGTACCTAGTTTTGAGAATTTGACGTAAGGAATTTTGAGTTTCACAACATGTCAAGCTTTTTCGAAAGCAATTCTTTGAATCTTTTGATAACGACTCCGAATAATCTCACGATTTTGATAGAGCAGATAGAGCTTTTGGTTTTTGACATAATGGTCTAATAACTCAAAACGCTACTGTTGTAACTCTACAAAACTCTCATGTTCAACGTGGAAATGTCAGATTGCGCCTGTGGATAGTTTCTGTGTCAGCTTGTGTTTTGTTTTGGTTTCTTCTTTCTATTTTTTTTTGTATTCTGAGAAAGGTGAGAATACATCAAAATATTACGAAAACCAAAGATTAAACGTACCATGTATGTATGAAAAATTCTGACACAACTTGGGAATACACAAATTATAATCAATAAATATCCCAGATGGCATCCGTTGTCTGTAAACAGTACAATGACTCTTCGAAGGAAATGGTGAAAGTAAGCTGACATGTTTTCGGTAATAAGTGCAGAACCTAGTCACAATTTAGTCAATTATTGTTCCCGTAGAAGCTTTGGGGGAGTTGAAAGCGCAGACAGATAAGAAAAAAAATGGGCCTACCACAGGCACTCTCTACCCAC